CAGTGTCAAACAGTCCTGAATTTTTTGTTTATAGCCTAATTTTTGTAGAAGGTCTTGGGGTAAAGTAAAGGAGTACTGCTGCTTTACGGGCTGCCTTTTTATGTAATTTGAACCTTTTGTCTTAGGATGTCGTGAGGTGTTTGTAAGGTGCACGCTTCCAAAGTGTGTTAAGTAATGTCTTGAAGTTTTAGGAACAACAGTAAACTCTAAATAATCAGTCTTGTGAGGATATGATTGTAGTGCTAGAAAAGATACCTCCTGTTTTCTGTTTTCAGGTGTTCCAAAGGGATGGGAATGATTTGCATATGACGCACAAGATAGGACTTGTTGAAGCACTGTGTGGATTCCAGTTCACATTTAAGCACCTTGATGGGCGTCAAATTGTGGTTAAATATCCTCCTGGAAAAGTAATTGAACCAGGTAAGTGTGAGGAGATAAGGACTCCTTTGACTGTGCTTTTGTTGTTCTTGAATATCTAATTCCATTCTTGTTTTGCTTTTACCTGAGCCCAGACTGGAGAATTGGGTGGGGCAGGACTGTTTCTGAAGCAGCATTCTGCAGATTGGTTTCTTACCCTTACAGGTTGTGTCCGTGTAGTCAGAGGTGAAGGAATGCCACAGTATCGCAATCCTTTTGAGAAGGGGGATCTTTACATTAAATTTGATGTTCAGTTTCCTGAAAATAACTGGATTAGCCCAGAGAAGCTTTCAGTAAGTAGTCTTTCGAGCATAAATTTGGTAGTTTTATTGGACAGTGCATGCAAGGTGCTTGTGTGTTAGCCCCCTGTGCTTGCTTTGTAATCTGTAAATGTTAATAAATTGTTCTATTAATACTGTTCATAGACAGCATATTACTTGAAATATGAATTGAGATTTAGGTTTCTGGAACCTGTTTTTAAAAGCGGTGTTGATTTTTGGGTAGATGAGAACAGAAGGAAGAATCTATGACCATGTGATAAGTCTTGAGAATGCAACTGTAATTACTGATTGGACACTGGTTGATAATGTGTGGAGGTTTTTTGTTTTTTTTTTTTTTTTTTTTCCCAGTTATTGCAGATACTTTGGTTACTCTTAAATGAGTTATGCACTTCAGAGCTTACACTAGTTTAGGCTTCCAAGCCAAACTTGCTCCAAGGAGTCTTGATGCTGTGGGGAAGTCATCACTTTATTTAGAAGTTGGAGATGTGGTACTGAATGCGCTTCTTTCTTTGGGGCAGGAACTTGAAGATCTTCTGCCTGCTAGACCAGAATTTCCTAATGTAATTGGTGATGCAGAAGAGGTAGATCTTCAGGAATTTGATACCACTCGTGGTTCAGGTGGTGGCCAGAGACGTGAAGCTTATAATGATAGTTCTGATGAAGAAAGCAGCCATCATGGACCTGGGGTACAGTGTGCCCATCAGTAAACATTTGTCTAAAAAGTTGCACAAGGATTTTCTTTGAAATTTTGCCTGACTTGTTTTCAACAATCCAACTGGATTGTATAAGTAATCCAGATGAACCAATGGACATCTATTGCTGTATGTGTAACTTTTAAATTGGTCTATAGTATCTACAGAGTGTAATTTAAACTAACCACAAAGCTTACATCTTCATTTTGACTGTGTAGCAGAATAAAGCACTTGAAAGGAAGACGAGACTCCTTTTCACATGGGTTTTAAGTTTGTCCTCGTATCTGTGCTTGATTTTTACCAGTTTTGTGTAGATTTTAAGTTTCATATTTTAAATTCAAATTCTACATTGTAAAGTTTGTGTACAATTTGTCCTGAGGCTTGGTATTTGGCTGCACCTGCATAAGCTGCTACAAGTAGAATAAAGAATTTCATAGCCTGTATCTGTCATCTAGATGCATGGTAAATGGGCTTTGCACATAATGGGTTTAGAGCTGACTGGGAACAATGGAAGACTAAATTAGAAGTGGTTGTAAGTTTTTTCTACCATCTTGTGAACGGTTTCTGAAATAAATAAAAGCAGTTGGTGTATAATATATTTCTTCTTGCCGTGTAACTTTTACTTTTGCAGTGGTTCTGACCATGTGTACCAACTGACTATAGAGAGGTAGGTGCTTGAAAACAGAGAGGCTGAAGCTGCTTTAAAACCAGCTTGCAGTTTAAGAACTGTGTGTATAAATATTTTTCTTGAGCAGCAATACAGCTATTTGGGTAGGGGAAGGCCACAGCCATGTCCCCTTTCTATAGAGAAAGTACAAAGATTTCAGGCTGCCATCAAGAAGTTACAAACATTTGAAATGAAGATGATTAAATCCCGTGCTAAATTAAATCTATGTCTTTAAAACAAACAAAAAAAAAACATGCCTGGCAATCTGTAGTGGTGTTAACACAGTTTGTAAAGAGATGGAGATTAGTGTTGTACTTGACAAATATTTTTTACCTCAAAACATACTAAATGTTGTCAATTTTATCAGCTTTTCAGTAGTTTAAAATTTTTCTAGCTATTAAGATGCTTAATTTTCCCAGTTTCAGTCCTATTCCTTTTTATATGCATTTAATTGGTTTTAAAAAAAGAGACCTTAAATAATTATCAGGTACAGCTATCTTATTTTGTTACTGAGTTGGAGAACTGTGCATGAGTTGCTGTTCACCAGTTTGCTATAGTGTAGTTCCTCTTCCCCGTTGAATAGAAGTTGAAATACACTCTTATTTTTCTTTACAAACTTCAAGAGTGACTTTAAAAGCTTGTCAGGTAATTGTTGAATTCTTATCAGAGTGAGGTGGGAGAGAGGTGCTCCAGAGCTTTCAGTGCACTTGTAGGTGATGACATCGGAACATTGCGAAATGTGGATTTTAAACTGGAGCAAGAATAAACACTGTTTGGCTGCTACTTCAGTATTGATTTATACCGTTGCAAGTCCTCTACTGAAGCTTTGTTTGTTCTCACTTAAACTGCAGGTTTTGGCTTTGCATGAAGTCGTAGTTACATAGTGATCCTTCTGGTGTGTTTCACCAAGTTCATCATCTTAAGCTGTAGTGTTTAATAATTAATGTACTTGTCTAATGCTTTCAGATACTGGTCTTCAGATTTACCTCTAAACTTTAGACTCTAAAATTTTTTTAACTCTAAAATGTATCTCTCTAAAGTAGAGGTAAATTGTTAAATTTGTGTTTTTTGGTGGAGTGGGGAGGAATTCGCTGTAACTTCTTAGATAGCATATTGAGGTGAAAGGGGGGGAGGATGTAGATTTGATCATTATATGTAGTTTGGATTATTAGTCATTAATTTAATTTAGGCTCCTGACAGTAGAATCTGACCATTTCCAGAATTACCTTTATTCTACACATCTCCTCTTTCTACAGAGTTTTAGTGTGGTAAAAGTCATACATAAATTTAAAACTTATACAGTCTTGACTTCAGTACTAAACTTGGAAGTAATATAATACCACTGTCAGTAATTTTGTTTGGTTTAGCAATAAACTTTATTGCTTTACTGCAGCTGCTGCCTCATTAAATAGGCCAATGTGCTTGTCCTATGTGAAAGAAGCATTAGTTGCATGTTCTTTGTAATAAGTGGTGCATTGTGATATGTAGGTCAGAGGTAGTACTACAGAGTAATTGAGTCTTCGGTGCTTCACCCTTGGGATAAACGTATCAATTGATTAAAAGGCCTGCATCACTGAAGAAGTGCACAGCTTGTGAGTTTGCCCCGTGTCAGGGCCCAGAGACACTTTCCTAGCTGTTAACAGTCTCTCTCTCTCACACGCACACACACTCTAAGTTAAAATTCATGAGATCCTTCTACTAGAGCAGGCCTCATTAAACAACAGGAGCTAATTCTGTAATAGATACCACTACATTCAGACTTAAACCCACAGCTGTGCACTGTACTGGTTTTCAAAGCTATATTCAACAATACGTTTTTATGGAAATTATAGAATACTGTTGTCAAACATTCAGATTTCAGTGCTGCCTTGCAATGGTATATGCATTAGTGTAGTATATGAGGGAACAGTTAAATCATTCATCTTGAAATACCAGCTTGTCTTCAGGAATCAACATTGATAACAAGCTGATGCGATGCACTCATCAATTTAGGTTAATTCAAATAAACTTAGTTGTAATTGAGCAGTATAATGACTGACTTCTAAATGTAGGATGTTTCATACAATTCTTAATGCTATTATTAGAAAGAAAAGCATATCTATATTCTGGTTATCAGGTGAAAATAAGATTATTCATCAGTTAGGCTTAACTTAATGCTCTTGACCAGCTTTGACTTCCTTGTCCTAGGAAGTGCTTTTTTTTCCTTAATTGAAACTTGTGACCCTTATCTCACTTTTTTTTTTTTTTTTAGAGAAGACTGAAGAAAAAACTGTTAGAAGCTAAAATTGCTTAAAATATGCTTAAAGTTTTGAAAGTGCAAGTCTTCCCTGCTGTCGTATCACAGTGAAAACATTGAAATCACTCTTAGCAGACTAAAAGCCAGGAGTATCCTCAAGTTAATGAAAAGCTTATGCAATGGTGGTCATCTTTTACTTGAAAAAGTTGTCAAAAGCTTTCCTACCAGAGAAAATCTGAGCTATTACCCTGTCTTGCAAGTTATATCACAACAGAAGACTGGAAATAATTCAGTTTATTTGTGTTAGATTTGTATCTGTGTTACCAGAAAACTGAAGCTGCATATCTTAAAGTTCTGTTAAAGAACTTAAAAACCTGCATTTCGTTTTAAGGCTTAAGTAAAATCTCTAGAATACGAAACATGAATAGTAACAGCAAACCAATAGCTAAATAGAATTCTTCCGTGCATGCCAGAAACAATGTAAACTGTAATAATAAGTAGCTTCCTACTTCTAGCTGTGTAGAAATATCAGTTAGACCTTAAATCTTCTGCTACTAAATCTTGCTTGTTACATCAAGGTATTTTTCCTTTTACTGTGAACTGAGCTAAAATGCCAGCTAAAGGCTTGTACAAAGGTGGAACAGTAAAATCGCTTCCTTTTGCATTTGTGTCCTTTATGGAAACAAGGAAAAACATGGATCCCATTGTATGCTTTTATGTAAAAATATTTATTCAGCAGTACACAGCTTTATTAAGACATTGTAGATATTCTCTGAACACTTTAGAGGAGGAAGGTAAGAGCAGTTGTGAATATTCTGTCATCGCAAGGCAGTTCCGTTAACTTGACTTAGCAGTAGCCTTTCCACATAATACAGTCAGCTCACTCTAAGGATGAAGAAAATTCACTTTAGTTCAAGCTAACAAGCAAAGCTTAAAGGAAATTAAAAAATTAGGTGCTGTAGATGTAATAAGTAAATCCCTGCTCTCTGCTTACAGACTCAGATATGCTGTTACCAAATTTGACTTCCGCACCTTCATCTTAACCTATTCCAGCCACATTCAATTACTCCCACCACAAGACTTATCTGATTATTATCACTGATTGTCCAGATGGATACCTATTGCTCCAGATGAATTCATCTGGAAGCTCTATGCTTTGCTAAGAATGTCAGGCAGTGTGTGCTACGAAGTTCTGTTCAGCTTTATTCTTCAAAACAATTTACTTCCTAGAGCCAGAAGTAAGGTAGTTCATGTTCAAATACCAGTAGAGAATTAACAGTAGTTCTTATTCAATAATAGACATAGAACAACAGATTTTAACAAGAACTGAAGCTTTGCTGTAACTTTGTAAGCTTTTGTGGATGGGATAAAGTATGGCAATTTGCACACTGAGCAATCTAGAAGGAAAAGCTTATAATTCTGTTCTATTCCAGGTAACTGTACATGTTTCTGTAAGTGCTCTCCTACGCATTTATCTGTGTACAGCAGTTGTCCCTTCCCTGTACCTCCCTCTCCCTCTCCTTCCAATTTCTGCCAGCCAACTTAGGCTTAACTTCTGAAGAAATACACAGTTAGAATTAGCACCCAGAACATTTATCTCACATGAAAGTGCAGAACTGGGTGGTGGAATACTTATATGCAAGTCTTTTAAGCTTAAGCTTAAAAGGTTTGAGCTTAAAAGGTTTAAGCTTACCACTAGGTTATGAATGTGCTGTACTGTATCTTGATTTAATAGTTGAACATCAAAGTTACGGAGGTCTCCACCAGCCATACGGAGCGTCTAAAAACATGAAGAGAAAGTTTCAAAAACTACTCCAAACGTTTATACTTGCACTGTCAGCTTCTCTGAAAACCAGGTGCTGCCCTGCTACATTAGAAAACATTGCTAACTGTTCTTCCTTGTGTTTAGCAGCTCACACAGGGACAGCGAGAGCCATCTGTATTAGACAATTCACAGTTGAACTACTGTAAAGTATTTTAGAATTTTTTTTTAAAGGAAGAGTTTCATACCTGTCCATCAGCCAAGGGAATGTTTACAAATGGAACCATTTTATCTTGGGGTACTGATTTACTTCTCAGTATCATGCCTTGAACTCTTTCACTGGTAGGTAAAGTTCTTGATACAGCTTGTTGTAGTCCAGCACTAGAATACAAGTAAAATGTTACTATAACATTAGCTTCCTCTATTCTGCACATTTTTTGTGCAAGAAGTTTCTGCACGTGGTAGCAAGCATACCTAAGAAAAAAGCCATCTTGTTTACCTTTTTCAGTGCTGCCAAAGGACTGCAGGAAATCTAATAGCAGCATTTACTAGCACACTAGGTAATATTTTCTGACCGTGACACTTTTTATTCCTGCGTTACAGGCCTGTAAGCAGGCTGACATTTAGACCTCTCACTATCAAGGACATCCACTCCCCGATATGAACAGTGACAGAACAGTTTTGGAAAGAGAAAACTGTGCCTTGAGGCTTTAGATAAGACTTGCACTATATCTGTTCACTTCAGAGGGAAATGGCAGGACATTCCAAAGCTGCTACCTCTTAGAGGTACAGGAAATGCTGTACGTATAGAATTCCTACACTTGTTTTGTATTTTTTTAAAGGCAGGATTTGGACATTTTCTATGTGGCAATAAGCCTCTGGCATTTGTAGTAAGCCGAGGTGAAACTAAGCAACATGTTGGTTTCATGACCCAGTTAGTTACCAAAATCATACACCCTTAGGTATTTCAGCTGCCGACTTCTGTCAAAACTAAACTGTTGCTTATGTAAAATAATTGAAAACCTAAACTGTTGAAAAAGGATACAACTGTGGTAATCAATTTTTTAAAACATGACCATATTGGTCACATTTTAATCAAACATATGCTCTGAGGTTGTAGCTTAAACTCTAAACTATACCTTTAAACAAAAGGAGAAAGGAGTAGAATGTATATTCCATTAATGTTTGTTGAGGTTTCTCCTTTTGTTTTAAAGGAAAGAAACAAACTGGCTTAGTTGTGACATTGCATTCTGTACCTCCATGAAAAAGTAAGCTAACGCCCATGCTCAAAGCAGGAGGCGCAACTGGTTCACATCCCCACTACCAAGTTCAGTGGCAGACCATGAAGACCTGTTAAATCTAGATCGACATGCAGTGTCTTGGTGCTCCTTACCCTTTTGATACTTTTGGTGTGGCTTTGAAATTTGTGGCATTGCAGTCAGGGGCAAGAGTCTTAACAGCCTCATTTATGCTTGTGGAAGAGTAAACAGACCTAAAAAAATAAGAGGAGTAGTGATTTATTTTAATTGCCTCCTCATCTACTTCTACTGTAAAAGCTCCAGCTTAGATGAAAATGGACAGTGAATTAGAGAACGTTGTAAGTGTTCTATAACATATCCAGTTTATATACAATGAAGAAGCCCTCAAATAGATTCTGAGCTATGCTGGAACCTAACATGACAGGTGAATGAAAGGTTTCGTTACATTAGCAGGTAAGGGACAGCTGCAATTCCTGATGTGGGGGATACTTAAAGCATCATCCCCAGCTTTGTTTCAGCATACAGAGATGATCATCTTGGGAAGCTGCTTTTTCAGTAGGATTTCATTTTACTATTTCAGCTGTCAGGACACTTGCTATGTATGGCTGACCTGAATCCACAGAACAATTTTTTAATTTTTGACTTTTTTTTAATTGTTGGGCTTTAACTTGGTTCACAGAATTTTTGATGACAGAATTTACCTCTGCTCTTTCCTCTTTTTTCCCCACTCGCATTTTGAAGACTAAAGGCATAATTTTGTCCCACTGTTACTGTACACAATAAATGCAGCCTGAAAAGCCAGACTTCTCGGGCAAAGCAACCTCCTGTAGTTTGATTTCATCAAGACAGAAACTAAAAAAATCCCAATTCAGGAAAATAATTGTACGTGGCTAAGACATTATTTCTTTTAGGCATGTTAAGCACTGATATTATTTCAGCTGTTTTTCTCCAAATACAAATTGAATGTACCCAAATAAGTGCCAGTGGATTCAGGGATGTACACTGGAACAGGAGCATCTCAAAAAGCTTTTTCAAGCAGATGTATCCACTGTTTTTTATTCATTTATTTTAATCCATTAGATTTTATGACGAGACTTAAATATTGTCTATCCTAAGTACCACAAAGGTTATTTTGCAAGCATCTATTTCCCTGCTAATGATAACTTCCTTTCTGCTATTCTAAGGGCAAAATTATTACACAACAGTTCATTACCCATAATAAGAAGCAACAAAGACATTTCCCTTATGTGCTGTCTTTCATGAAGTGATGTTTGTTAGTCTGTGCTGATAACACATTCGGAACTGCACGCCATGCGGTGAGTGAGAGAACTACGTCTTTCAGCTAGATGTCAGCTAGATGTGCTTTTTTGTACATCCGATACAAGTTATGGAAGGCATCTCTATCAGAGCGTTTATAAGGCTCAAATTTCATCTACTTTTGAGAAGGATTCTGTGCAGGATTTACCAGTTTAAGTAAGTTATGTATCAAAGGTCAGGCTTACCTAGAAAGACTGTGCAGTTTGCTATTTAAACCAGAGCTCAGTGAAACCAGTGACTTTGATTTGGATACCTGAGAACGTGCATTAGACTGCAGTTAACAGAAATGGCATCTTAAGGCAAAATGACAGACATATGATAGATACTTCCAGGAAAAATACTGGAAGAATTCCGTGTTCAAACAGAACAGTTAAGCTCCACAGTGCTGCTTTTTGCTGTTTTACATATTTTAGAAACCACAAATACACATTTCAAGTTTTTTTGATGTAAAACTATACTGAATTTCAGTATGAACAAACACAAGCAATAGCTTTTCTAACATACACCTTTCCAACACGTAGCCCTCTTGTAATTAAGACCTGTATGTGGAGTTACAAGTTTTGTCTTCATTGAGTTATCCTGGCACATTGTGTTTGGCTGAGGTACTGCACTGCACAGGACTGAGGTGGTAGAATTAATACACCTGTGCTATCTGGTTTACAGATCCATGTGGATAGGATGCACCAGTCACCCAAACATACGTCTATTTTTAACACAAAGTTGAGTTCTAAAAAAATGTTTCAAATAGTTCCTCAAACCATCAGGACTTATTGGCAAATCAGGAAAGAATGACTACTTCAGTATGTGCAATTCTGTGTGAATGAGTTACACAAAGAGCAGATAACATTTTATTATGAAGTTAATTTACTATGCAAATTGTCTTGCTTAACTGAAAATAAGCTGAATTTGAAAGAATTTATTGTTCAAACAGACAACAGGCTACTGGCCTGCCTGGGAATGGACAGAGCAGGGTTCATAGCACGTCACGACAGATTAAACCCTTACATTGTTTATGTAGAATAAACTTACTTTTTTAGGTATTTTCTTTGCAGATGTATACTTGGCATCTTCATATTCAACAATTGTAGTTACCTTAACTAGAAATGCATTTGAAAGAAAAGAAAAAGAAGTCTCACAAAGAGGCATACGTTACTTCAAACATTTTGTTTGAAGGTGATTTACCCACCCGTAGTTAGGTATCAGTGCTGCTGGGTGACGATCACTCACCTGGGACAGAATTCAAAGCCAACTGTTTGTCACAGACAAAGTGACACATCAAATAGTTAAAAGGCACCAGATAACCCTTTAACTCCCAGATAAAACAGAACTACATTTAAGTAGTAATGTCACTTTTATGGCATAGTTTGGACTATAAAGATGAATGTTATATTCTTTACAGAGCTTAGAGAACAGGAAGTCAAAGCATAATCTGTAATGTTCTGAGCTCTCTTGTTATACTGTAGAGCACTGATAAGGCTCTCAAATCTGTCTCCTTTCACCATTTTCAGTGATAAATCTAAAGGGCAGGAATTCTTATCTCATGTTTTGGAGCGCTAGAACAGCAACACAGCACATGGTCCTTGTACTTTCAGTTAAGCACTTCCCTCTGAAGTTCTCCAGGCCTAATGTTCACATTCTGCTCAAACCACAACAAGGAGAAAATTTAAGAGCAAAGCTACATAATAGAGCTGCTTGCCTTTTTTACTGTTGGTCCGTGTCACTTTTGGGTTTGGTACATCTTCTAGGGTACAGTCTGTCTGTGAGACATTTATTCAAAAAGATAAAGTGAATATTTTTTGTTCAACAGATACATTCTATCTTATAGAAAGCAATAAATCAAAAGGGCGTGGAAGAAAGTGACAGAAATGGCTGAACAGCAGTTTATTTTTCAGAAGCAGCTGTACTTCTTGCAGATGACCATAAATGTTTAGTAATGTTACTGCACTGTGGCTGGCTGTCTAGCCTTTTTTATGTCTTCTGTTTAAACAGGCAGATTAACAAAGTAATTTGTCTGAAGTCCTTACAGCAGAAAGAAAAGTTTCTGGTCTGTAAGCTGTGATAAAGTTAAAAATACACACCGCTGCAGCAGCAAGGGCCACTTCCTCCCCTTCTTGCAAATCTGTGACATAAGAAAGCACAGCTTGTTTACATACTGTTGCTTGAATCATTATTATCTGCAGGTTCTTATCTTTCAAAGTATGGAAATGAGCATGTAATTCAGAACTGTAGTTGCCTAAATAATTCACCTTCACTAGCAAATCCCTTAGGACAGCCAGTGTGCAAAACAACGATAAACAAACATCCTGGGCCACTTCAGTAAGTTTTATCTGTAGAAGAACAGTAAATTTAGCCAAACAGTACACAGCCTGAATTAAAAGCAGCAATGCTCTGTGCTGCTGGAAGCCAATGCTTTTAGGTAGCAGTTTTCAGGGAAGGCACTAAACACACCTTCTGCAAAGGCTTACAGTCAACTCAAGATCGCAGAGCCTTCAGTTTGATTTCATGGCCGTGTCACCAATATTAAATGCTGCATTCACACACACTTACTAAGCAAGTCCTTCCTTTTCATCTTTCTGATGGCAGTCGGCATCTTCAGCAGTTCCACCATGAACGCTTTCTCAGCCATTTGCAAGAGCAAATCGAGTTCTTTCTTCATTTCCCGGATGCTTTCCTTGGCTGGAAACCAGACGGGCGTTTATCGCCACACGCGTTATCCGCCTCCGAGGCCAGCCCCGAGGTACGGCAGCGCCAGCCCGCCGGCCGCTCCCCGCCCCGACGTCCGTCACGGCGCCCCCTGGCGGAACGGTGCTTCCCGCGCAGCCCCACCGTTCCGCGATCCGCCACAGCCTCGGCCGCCCCGACGCGCGCCTCACGGGACGCCGCGCGGCGCCCCGCCCCGAGCCCCTCCCTGCCGGCCGCGCGGGCCCGGTACCGCCGCCTCAGCGAGCCCGGAGGGGGCCGGCCGGCCTTACCCTGCTGGTCGAAGTCGCTGAGGAAGAGCGCGATGCGCTGATCCTTCTTCTCCTGAGAAAGGGCTCCGCGGTCGCGCTCCACGCCCGAGTCGGTGCTGCGCCGCTTGGCCGGAGCCTTCTTTGGGGGCATGGCTGCCACCTCGCGCGACGGACTCGCCCCTTCCGCCCGGAGGCTTTTGTACGAGCGGGGGCTTCTCCCCCCTTCCCCTCCTCTCCTCTCCCCTCCCTCCGCCTCCTCTCCCTCCGCCTCCTCTCCCGGTCCCTGGCGGTCACACCCCCGGCTGCGTGAATCGCCTGAAGGCGGCGCTGCCGACCGGCTTCCGTCCGACGGGTGAGTCGTGGCCGGGCGGCGGGGTGAGGGCGGGCGGCCGCTGCCGCGTGGCGGTCCGTGAGCGCGGTGCGACCTGAGCGCGGTGCTCCGCAGGCGGGGCGGCACCGGCAGCCCGAGCCGCCCGTGAGCTGGAGCGGCACGAGTGCGTGCGCTGAACCACGGCTTTCGTTGAGGACCGCTTTCATCGTGAGGTGCGGCGCCTCGTGGCGAGCCTTGCAGCGTTGTGTCAGTGAGGCGGGACACGGAGAACAGCCGCTCTTTAGTTTAATATGCGCTTTATTATTTGGAAGTTTCATACATTGAAGTACCATTATAAGGAGCACCTGTAAGAAAATCAAACCTAGAAGCATGCATTCCAAAGTAAGGATTGTCTGTTATTAATCAAATGTTTAAAATACATCGAAAATAAACCTCCTTTTTCAGCTTTACGGGATTAATTCACGAAAATGCACATTCAGCTCATCACGGTACACACAGACATTGCGGATGGGCAGCAGAGATCACTGCCCTTCTGTATGAGATGCAAAGTGTCATCCCTGCTAATGTCGGAAACACAAAAGGCACCATAAGAGAATGTTTAGAAAAAACTGTTTATGCCGTTCTATTTTGATTTAAAAGTGTAAGAATTGCTGTCCTGGCATAAAACAAAAAGCCTTTGACACCTGTAAAGTATCATTAGAAACTTGTAAACCTTTACACTTTTCCAGAAGCATCGGGTGCAAAGGCAAATATAAAATCTATTGAATTCTTAGATTACAAATGCTACCCTATGAAAAAATCTATAGTTACAAAAATATAAAAGATCTTCTAACTCCGATTGTTAGATCCTAGCTTCAATCTACACCACATTGCAAGTTCGAAGCCAGATAGATCTGATTTAGACACATTTATAGAATAGGAAAGCGCTGCTTGTCTTATTTTTAAATCAACATTCCATCCATTTACTACAGTTTTGCCTTCTAAATTTGACTTATTACTGCATATTAAAGATGCCAAATGGAGAGTGCTAATGGGTAAAAGGCTGCATTTATCAATGGATAGTAGCAACATATCCATTCCCAGTCTGCTTTCCTTCCAGAAATCCATTTCTCTATAGATAAGAGAAAATTTTTTATTTTTATTTTTTATTTTCATACAGTGTTGTTTTTTTAACTCCAGCCTCTTTGTGTAGCACATGCAGTTTTCCTTTATGAACTTGTAATCACTGGCAAATCATTGAGAAGTACCAAGTTCTTCCTTGCAGGCTTTTGTGAGAACCAGTGAAAAGGACAGCAGCTGCCAGTGCACATCACAGCCTGGTAGCTGCTGCTGGAAGGTCAGGTATTCGCAACACCTTGCGCACATAAAAGATTGGCACATCCTTTATCCATGCAGTGATTTTTTAGCCCTTGGCTTTATATCCTGGATCAGCACAGGGTGCTGAAGCAGCTCTAAAGGCAGCCTAACAAAGTGCTATTAGGCATTAAAATGAATTTACTCTAAATAATAATGACTAGATGAAATGAGATACTGATGAATTAACTTTGTAAAATGCTGAGCTTAAGCCTGACAGACTGTAATGCTTTCCTGGCTGAATACTGGAATACATTTCTTGGCCAAAGGTGTCCAGCTTCCAGTCTGGACAAACTGAAGCCTTCTTCCTCTGTTCAGTGGAACTAGCATAGATTAGTGCAGTAATACCATTTTTCTCCTAGATAGTGACCTGCTTTAGCTGGGTTTTAATAAGAACTCAGACTCAGTCAGCCCACAGTATGACTGTGGAAGATTTAACATGAGCTGTACTATAGTTAGCTTTTTGCTAGGTGTGCAAGACATTTCCTTCTAAATACCTTTTCTTTCATTAGAAACCACCCCCAAACATTTCTTCTGATCACGTTTGTTAGTCCTTGACTTAGCTGGCTGTGTTTTAGCCAGCTAATGGCTCTTCTAATCATGTGGCTTTGAACAAATGTTCTCTATAGATAAAGCAGTTCTTTATAAAGTAGCGTTTTATTTTACCTTCTTTGAAAGCATTCACAGTACTCATAGGTGCTTTGAGACAGTAGCTTATTATGTTGCATGTATATAAAATAAGTGAATTAAAGAGTCTTGTGGAGTTGTTATAAGAATAAGCATTCAACTGCTCTTATCTTATGCTGGGTTAGTGTGTCCAACAGCATATGAACAAGAAGGTAATACTCCTCATTATGTTCCAATTTTACAAAAATAGGGTTTGAATGGACACCTTCTTCATCCCTTTGATCATAGCTGTGTATTCTGCTCAGATTATGCTGTGATGGCAGAATTTCTTTATAACAGAAGTTCAAAGGTATCTACACACATCTGCCAGTGATTTTCTTTTAATAAGCATGTTGTACTTATGTGTTTAGTCAGATTCAGAGAACACTCCATACTTAAAAGAACCACAGCCCAGCACACTAGTCCCTTGTAGCAGGTTTCTGAATTTTTGCTGAGTTTTAAAAAGGAAATCATGTTCCTAGTTCCAATCTAAACAATTGTTCTGAGTATTTCTGTCTTGAGACAAACAAACTAAGAACAAATAACAGCAGTAGATTTCATGACCAACTCCCTCCCCAACCTAGTGAGTCAAAAGTTCCAGAACATCACTTCCAACCAAGGCACAAAATCATTTGCTGATTCTTTTCTTCCATTGCTTTCTTCACATTTTCCCCTTGCCCTTAAAAAAACCAGAAGTTGGTGTAACAATGTTGCATATTACCAGACATTAAATTCAACTGAGTTGTAGCTGTATCTGAAATAGATTCTATCTATTATGAATTTAGGTTAATTAGATGAACAGCACATTCTTAGCACATCTTTGTTCACTTTCGGCATTCACCTCGAAGGGGAGGACATGGAGGAAAAAGCCGCAGCAGTTTCATGCATATTTTTCAAGAAACTTTATGTGGAAGTCTTTCATTTTCTCCATTAGGATCTTCAGCTTGTCTATTTGAGGAAGAATGGTCATTCTGAAAAATAGTATTTAGAAAAAGAATTTTAAAAAAGCACCTTGTTTTCAAAGCAAAGTAATGCGATCACTTCACAGATGTGACACAGCCAGCAGAACTGCTGTAGCTAAAGGTTCCCTCATCGCTTCAGACCAAACAAGACCAAATTCCATGCTGAATTCCAGCTGTTAGTGGCTTGGCTGTAATAAAATGCTATTTGTTGGAAGCAAGAGCAAGCAGTGGAGTTTATGTTCACAGTTTTGGTATTGAAGGATTTAGTCCTATTTCTTGTTTCAGTAAACTAGAAGTAATTAAGCATGTGTAAGGAGCAGATTAGTAAGGAAAGATACTGTAGATACTTGACTAAGGAAATGCTGTTTAATTCCCAGAAGAAGGCAGGGCAGTGTTATAAACACCCTAGCCAACTTCACAGCATAAGCTATAATTACTATTTGCAGAGAAGGCATTTCAAGTGTCAGTGTATAAAAATAGAATAAAACTATGTCAGCAAGCTGGGAGAACACCTGAATCAGAAGGAGAAGATAGAAGAGCAGGTCTTTGCCCCAGCAGAAAGTGAGACTGTATGACTTTAAATGCAAGCCCTTATGTCTAATCAGAAAAGAAAGTACTGGGGTAGTACTTAGCTTATTACAGTTCATTTCATTGATCAAACAGAAACTGTACCTGAAATGATATGTTCCTTCTCTTTGGCCGAATCCACTTCCAGGTACAACACAGATTCCAGTCTCTTCCAGAAGTTTCATGCAATAGAACATGTCAGGTGCCATCTTATGTGCCTGAGGGAACCGATGCGTTGGAATAACAAAGTCAAAATATCCCAAAGACATATAATTTCACGACTGCTTTTTTTTCCTGAAACCTTGTCTTGCATTATTGGTTTCTTGTTCTGTTTACTAAATAGACGAAGAACAATTCCTAGTTGTACAATTCATGCTGTGAATTAAGTAACAGTAGTTTGTGGAGGAGCGAGGATGAAGAACCTACACCAAATATTTGCTTCAAAAGAAAGGTTCTACATATTTTTGTTTTACTCCTCGAATGGTTTGTAACTTTTGGTCAAAAGTCACAAAATTGTACTTAGAGAAATCTAAGCCATATCTGGCAAGATGAAATTAATTTGAGCTGCGTGTTCCACTTTCATTAGCAGTTTCTATTTTTTCCCTTATGTTATCTGCTGACTAGAAAGTCTCCTGATTAATACCATCCAAGTTCTTAAGTGCATACAATTGTACACCTTGTCACAGAATGAGCAGGAAAGGAGCCCTATTTTTGTCTTCGCCTATGTACTTACAATTCCCTTTAAAAAAAATGAGTATTACATATTGGATAACAGAGCTCCAGCTAGGAACAAAAAGACTTGTCACTGAGCTTACTGACCTATGAGAAAAAGTATTGTGCAGAACTAAAATCTGAAAGGAGATCTCCCTGCCTTTATCTCATCCTTGCTCACTGCGGCTTCTGCAGAGTCAGTAGTGCACAGCCCATCTCAGTCTCAGCCACACATCTTGGCCTACCTACATCCACGTACGTCTCTATCCCACAGCTTTATCCATTTAACACATGGTAGCACTCTCAACTTGGAAGCCTAACGAGTGCTTACTTCCCTCACCTAAAGTAAAGGCCATGTTGTATTTTAAATCATATGTAGTCAGTGAAGTACCACTTCTGTGACTAGTGGGCTTTCTCTACCTCTGGAATAGAAGTTCATCATTAGAAGTAGGGTAGATTTAGACTAGATAGAGGGTAGATTTAGACAAGGATAGATTAAGGCCAGGTATTAGGAAGAAATTCTTTACTGTGAGAGTGATAGAGACACTGAAACAGGTTGCCCAGTGAGGCTGTGGATGCTCTCACCTGGAGGCATCT